CAATTTTTACTATAATATATATTAAATTAAAATGACCGCACAGATGTAGGGTAACCTGCGCAACTGCTATTTTGAACGTTGTATATGCTAAATCTCAACTTTTCTTGGAAAAACTGCTTTTTATATTTTCTTGAAATTCTTTATCTTTTCATTCTAAAAGTGCTTTAAAATTGACATCATTGAATGCGCCTTCAAATTCTCCCCTTAAGTTTATTAGAAGGTAGTATACGCTGAGCACACTTTCTATAGCTAATTTTAACAAAAATGTTTACAAATGTCAAATTATATCGACTTTGATTCAAAAAAATCATCGCAAAAAAATCATTTGGGTACAGTCACCACAGTGCAAAATGTTCATTGTACACGTCACTCAGATTCTGTGTGCTCAGCTTATTGGCTGCAGTCACCCTCAGCAACGCGTCTTTTTTTTTTTTCAGACTCCCTTTCCACCCTGTTTTTGCACTGCATTTTTTCTACTAAACCATACACTTTTTATTACTTTTGATTGAATACAACACCACTTTCGACAAAAGAAGCATACTTTTGCAACCACCAGTACCCAAGACGACATCTTTCAAGTTTGTTACAGTAAGTATCAGCCGATAGGGAACACTTTTCGCGGTACAATATACAGTAATACTAATTATACAGTTTATTTCAGACCAGTTCGTTGCAATATACTTATTCATTGTGTTTGGTCAAAAGAAGCATACCTTTGCAACCACCAGTACTCAAGACGACATCTTTCAAGTTTGTTACAGTAGGTATCAGCCGATAGGGGCCACTTTTCGCGGTACAATATACAGTAATACTAATTATACAGTTTATTTTAGACCAATTCGTTGCAATATATGTATTCATTGTGTTTGGTTTGTATTTGGTTTGTATATTCCCCTTTTTTGGTTGCCGTGAATTGGGTTGTCATGGCTTTGGGTGTTGTGGGTTTGGTTGTCATGAATTATATTCATTCAACCTTTTACTTTCTTTCTCGTGATACTGCGCATTCGTTTGTTTGCTTTATTGCGATTTATTCTTTCCCCCTTTTCTGCACGCAACTATTTTTCTGTTGCTGTACCACAACAGTGCTATAGTGTATCTTTTGATGCATTGTATCGCTGGCAGTGCTGCTCTATTGTGAAGTAGCCTTGCATTCTTTTTGTTCTTCTTCAAGTATTACATCTTCTGTAATACCGGTTGTATTAGTGTTCATGCTTTGTATGAGGCAACCACGATACTTTTTTCTACCTTTTTTTTTTTTGTACTCGTCATTTTGATGATATTCATTGCATGTTACCTCTTTGTATGTAACTGTATTGCAATGTTTCTGTTCTTCATCACATTCTAGTGATGCCCTCTTGTTGCTTTCCCTTCCTTTTTATGGTTCTTTGAATCATAACCCCTCTTTTTCGTTGTGTGGATGTGCCTATCGTTGAAGCACAACTAGATTTGATTCAGAGGCTGGGGGTAGATAGGCTGCTCTCACTTGATTGGTATCACTTACTTGGTGCCAATTGAGAGTCTCAAGCGTTTGCACTATAAGCTGGGGTGTGTAGTAAGGCATATTCTGGCATTTTAGGGGATTTTGATGATGGAATTGCTAAATTACTGTATTTAGTAATACTTAAAACTCCGCCTAACGTCAAAACAGAGGGAAACCCTCGCAATTTTTTTTTCTGGCCTGGGGTGTCTGTAGGGCAAATAAAGCGTTGTGATTGGCTCAAATTTGGAGACAGCTCAGAGAAATAAAGCATTCGTATTGAAACTAAAAATGTAATTGAAATGAGAAAAGCACGATTAAACATTCAAAATGCATGGTACAAATGGCTTAAGGTAACTACACACTATACCACCATAAGTAACAGACATGATCAAATACATTCACTATCCTGGAAATAAGAATTTTTAATAAATCTAAGCCTGTTCATAACATCCAAAAATACAATTTTGCATTATATTGGTATCAAATCAATCAAAGTCTTCAAATGTCAATCATCTGGCTTATGAGATAAACATGTACCTATGCCAAATTTTGCGAGGAACACGATGGTGGGATAATTGGACTTGTGATTTGATGAGTTGCTATTGATAAATGGATGATTTTCAAAGTAAGGCAACTTTGAGCATTGATCTCGACAAGATCCATAATGAAAGCCGCTGATTACGAGTAGTGTCCAGTAGTAACAGATTGATCAAGAGGATGTTGGACAACACTGAAGTAAGAAATGCATAATGTAGTAGTAGCTTTGTTGTTGACATTGAATCCTGGTTGTATTATGCAGGTATTTGGTGGGTGTGGAGCAAGATGAAACCACCCAAGGTTGGCTTGAAAATCTTGATTCCAGAGTATTGAAATTAGCACGCCCCTATGCCAAATTTGCGAGAAAGACGATGATATAGTTGGATTTTGGGTTGTTGGACCAGTTGACGTTGTTGCTGTACGGATGATTGTTCGAAAGTTGCCAATTTGGAGGACTGATCTTGCCAAGATCCATAGTAAAACCCGTTAATTACGAATGCCTACTAGTAAGTGAATGCAAGTAACGTAGAGCTTAACTATTGTTTGTCACTTAGTTCTCTACTATCAAGTAGTATAAGTCTCATATCGCAAAATTGTCATGGTTGATAATTTTTTGACAGTGATCTACTACAGTAGATATGCAAAATATCATTCAAAGACATGAACGATGATACAAACACATTCCCTGAAACACAGTATTAGTAGCTGGACTAAGGACAACAACGGATTATGTCTTCATGAGAGCCATGACAAGGTAAAGTCGTATAAAGGTTACTCTTGCTTTTTTTGTAGGTGTGATGATCATGCACTTTATTATAGCACCGTTTTTTCTTTTGATATCACACTATTTAACTATATTACTCAACAATCTACCTCATCACGCAATAATATGTCTATTATTGTCCAAGCTGCACAACGCTTGCAAACAAGCAATACTGCTTATCATCTAACACAAGTATACAAATCGGCAAGATCTACTATTTTTTTGTCAAGGCGTTGTAAGGTTCCCTGATACAACTGAAGACTATCGAGGGCTGTAGTGCGACGGCGGCGGCGGCGGCGCACTACAGCCCTGCGAGTATCCTAAGACGCCCTAATACGACCCTAATATGAACGTATTCCGGGTCGTTTTCCGGATACCCAAATAGAAACGTTTTACGGTACACCGTAATACGGCCCCGAAGATGGCTGTATTTTGGTGCCTAATATGATCCTGAAGACTGTCACATTAGGGTCGTCCTTGGATCTTCTAGGATGGCCATTCTATGTTAACAGAATACTTCCCCATTTTTGCCATTTTATGGTCATATTATGGCCGTTCTATGGTTCTTTCTTTACTGTTTCATTGGCTCAACCTCATCTATAATCACTGATATTGCGAATGATTCTTTGCATTCATTGGATTGTTCCTATGATGATTCATTCCATTCCATTGCTTATTGGACATTTCTACCATTATTTGCTCACTTTCAGTTTGTTTATTGGCTTGTAATTTGATCTTGGATGTAGATCTTTCAATACGATTGGTAAATTTATATGATGCATAAGATGTAAATAATGGCGTGAATTTCGTTTATTTATAGGGATTTTGCACAATAATGAGGTCAATGATACGATGGAATCTTACGAAATGCAATAATTAGCATGCAAAATGTACAGCTTGAAGAAAATCCAGGGATCTTGTGCGTTGAGACGGCAGTACAGTCGACATATACTACAGTAATATACTACAGAGAGATATAATGACGAGAATGAGACCAGCAAGGGAGAGGGCAGTAGTGGATGCTAAGATGGGCCTTGATCAAAGGATACATTACAGTGGTAGTGATTTTAGAAGATGATGGCAGGGTATCCTACAAAACAAACATGATTTAGACAAGAGATTGAGATGAGACGCTTCAGAGGAAATACCTATTCATTGATCGTTGATGCCTTTGTCATGAGAAACTCAAAGCAGAAGTAGCATCAGTAGCAAATTTAGCCCATGTGGATCCCATCTAGTCGTGTTTACACATGGTTTTAGTTTTCACAGTGACGATAGGATATCAACAGTAGAGCACTTTACCTTCAAATGATTTGGTGTCAAAACTTTGGATCTGTATTGAAGAACCATCACAAACGCGACAAAGGAGAAGAAAAAGGGGGATAGAGACAGATGGCAAGCAGCAGATCAAACGCAAATGAGCAGTGTAAAGCAGCAAAAAGATGGCATGGACAGGGATTCACTATAGAAAGCATTAAAGACAGGATAATGAGGCATTTGTTTTCAAGTGAGCAGAATTCGCCTTACCACTTACATCATGTAGAGTATTATGCCAGGCAAGCTATCATGAGAAAGAGAAGACAAGCAAGAGAAAAGAAAGCCTTTTGCACAAGTAGAGACCTTGCGAGGATGTAACACTATGCCAAGTTAATACAAATGTCTTTCAATCATTTAGTAGGATATTTACATCTTACATACCTTTTTAAATCTTAGAAGAAAAGAGAAGAAAGGGAAAGAAATGGAGAAATAGTACCGACTCCCGGTTTAAACTTCCAGTTTGAGCCGCTTCTTGATGCGCTCATAATACACAACACATCTCCTGATATAGTAACTGGATGAACAACAACAAACAATCTCTTTAAGTCTTCACGATTTATGGCCGTATTAAACATGCGCTTTATTTTTTTGGATGTGTAAAAAGCATACTGTATAACATACCAACATTTTCTTTGAGATTAACGTAATAAATAACCATGTCTTATCATCAATCTACCTCATCACCCATAAAAGCATCCAATGTCTAAGCTGCACAACACTTGCAGCCAGACTATACGGCTCATCATGTCGCACAAACATACATATCGGCAACATCTACCATCTATTTTCCTGTCAAGGCGTATTAGGGTTCCCTAATACGACTGAAGACTACTCGGGGCTGTAGTGGCGAAAAAACATTGCAATACGAATATATTTTTAAAAAAGTTACCATAAACATCCAAAGGAGGCGTAGCTCAGCGGTAGAGCGGCAGATTGCAAATCTGTAGGTCCCGTGTTCAATCCACGGCGCTTCCTTTCTTTTTTGCTTAGTTTTGGATGGTGGTGTATGTAGCTCTATGTTTTTTGATTCCTGAATTTAAGTATGTCCTATTGCTAGGAATCGTCGCCCTTGCAGCTGTCAGTTCATTTTGTTTCGCTGCCACTTTCTCTTCGCATACTGCTATCAGAATCAGCCTCAACTAAAGATGGCACCACCTAATCTTTGATTGCCACTGAAAGCATGAATCAGATATTAAACATATAATACTCAAGTCTTGTCGCCCATCTAAGCTATAAAGAGAACTACAATCCGTATGTATGGGCACACATACATCTTATTCCAACAAAGAGAATATCGCATTGTATGAGGATAATTGATTGAATAACACTCTTTAGATCTTATCGCCGCTCTACATATTTACTCTATTTTAACATCTCACATCAGATCTCTGCTACATATCTCCAACTAACTAGTATTGACAAAACTCTCAAGTACAGACCTATGTCTCCACTTGATATCTTAATATCTCTATTTCCTAGCTTCGTGAGTATCTGTTGAGCAACTATAGATCTGGCACTCACTTGACAGCTAGCTCATTTGATATTCCAAAATTTTCCTTTGAAGTTAGACATTGCGACTAGTTTAGCGCTTTATGTAGTCATGGTGCCTCCTCTTTTTTACAAGCTCTCTCTCTCTCTCTCACAGAAGATATACTATTTAGTTATTAATATTGAGTGTATTCAGCTCAACAAAACGACCAAAATCAATGTATACAAGAGAACATTAAGAAGCTTGAGACTAATTCATCTATTTAAACTAATTCTATTGAGTGATCCAGTAAAAGGCGCATTTGATGAACACAAAAACTAATACAATGTTACAAGCAGCTTAGATGCTATAAGTCTAAAGCTGTTGTTCATAAGGTATTATAATCAAATAGCAGCTGTAATGAGTTGGTGCGCCTTGAAGGCTTTGCAGGCATTAGATCCAGAAACTGTAGTTGTGTATCGATACCCACGATTATAGTAAAAAGGATTGACTGGTTTACCATGTCTCTAGAAGCAGAAATCGTGATCTATTAAAAGAAATGATACAAAACTTGTAGGTGGTACGAACAGTAGTAATAATAGACTACCAGTGTATGTTGTGCTTTTATATTTACCCATCAAATTCAAAGTGTCTGCTCCCCGTTGCCCTTGTTGCAAGATAATATGGAGCCGAAAGCATATAATACTTGCCAAGAATAATACACAAAAAGAGACTTATCCAAGAGTACTTGTGGCAATTATATCGAGGCATAGCCAATTTTACCTTTGCTGCGTTTCTTGGTCCAAGGCAGCCGTGATCAAGAGCGAAAATGCCGTTAATAAAGTATTGCAGGCCGATTATCCCCAACACATTTTATGTGCTGAATGAAGTCAGGCAGCTCCAATGTCAAATCACAAATAAAGGCAACCGTTTTAATGGAAAATAGCTAGGATCATCCCAAACATTCTATTACATGGCTTCAAATTGTACAAGATCCCGTTTGTTTATTTTTATAGATATATCATACAGAGCAACTCTTTTTCTCTAAATCAAGGCCTCTACCATGTAGCTTGGTTGTCATGGCTGTTACGATGAGCAAACAGCCATTCCAAATCCTCTTTGCTGTTAGTGTGAGTAGTGGAAGAAGGAGAATCAGCGGAAGCAGTGGCTTGAAGTTGAATGATCTTTTCCTTGACCAGATCAAAGAAAGCATTCCATTGATCCAAAGTAGTCAAATCAGAGACGATGCTGTTCAATTGGGCAATCTGTTGAAAGACGCCAGGATATTCAGTAACCAAATTGGAGGTGAAAGAGGTCCATTGGGTCTGGACTTCTTGAGCAGAAGTGGCCCCAGAGAGTTTTTCAACTTCAGCGAGGATAGCATCGTTGGCATTTGTGGCAGCAGTGGTGGCTGTTGCAGTGGTGGTTGAAGCATCAGCAGCATTGTTGGCGGGAAGTGCCTCCAGATCAAACAAAACACTGTTCATGTCAGAGTTCAAATGAGATGTTGGTTCTGAGCTACTGCTGTTGTTGATGTAGTTGTTGTCATTGTCATAGTCGCCATCAATGATACGAAGACAACCATAGCCTGATCTTCCAGTGTTACAGTCAGCCTAAGCATGTTGTTAGATCCACTGATATTTCAACATTGAATCAAGCATTTACCTCCTCTTGACAACAACGGATGCAGAATCTGTTGATATCAGGCTCAATCATACTGACAAAGTATTTATAATCTTGACATTGTGCTCCTACGGGCTTGCCCTTGGCATGCGCGTCGTATTGCCCGCCACCGTCAGTTGGGCTCAAATCGTACTTGGTTCTATCAAAGAAACCAGTGACCTGAACATAGCTGCTGTTCCGTAAGTAGTGGGCCGTTGTGATGAAGCCTTCAGGAAACTCTGTGGCATTTGGCACCGTGTCTGGCTTTGTACAAAATGGAATGCCATTATCTTCGTTTACGGCAACCTCGAGTCCTGGTTGAGGGGGTAAAAAGAGACAGAAATCATCTTGGCTATTAATAGCTGTCAAAGGGGTAGAAGAAGAAGAGGATGTTGAATTTACAGGTGCGGCATGAGCGGTAAAAAAAGAAGAAGCGATTGCGAACAGGCTTGCCACAATAAGCTTATTAGTAGGGATGTACATTATTATGATATGATATAACAGAGAAAGAAAGAAAGAGAGACAAGGAAGCAAAAGAAACAAAAGAGTTAATTAATGAAAATAGCTGATTGCAACTCAACTACTTTATAAAGCTACAATGTAATTAAGCAAGTTACACTAAATAAACAGTTAAAAAAAGATTTTGCAACTCGAGTTTACAGCAGGTACAACATCTATCAGATACCCAATAAAGAAGATGTCTGCTATTTTTATCAAATGTTGCATTTTGATAAAAAGTCCATATTTGCAATAAATTCAGCTTGTTTAAGCAAGATATGTCGGCCACTGATGCTAGATCAGCGCAGTGCCAAGAGACTCTTTGCGTTCCCCCCATTTACAAGGCGCGGCAAAGTCAAGCAAGGTCAAGTTACACGCCATCATGAACGACGGATGGCATCCGTAACAGATTGGATATTTATGTGCATTTCGACAAAAGTATACCCGAGATGTTCTGGTCATTGGTGCTTTTTAATTCCTCCAAATTTGTCAATATTCATTATCTTTCATTTGGCGTAGGAAGGCCGGTTTCATTGATGGTCCACTGATCTCTGACCGGGATCAGCAATGGATCTCATCCATGCGCAAAAGCAGTAATGAGCGTAGCAATTTAATTTAGGGACATACGTTCACCAAATATGCGTCGAATTGCAAATTACAACAATTTGTACCATAGCAAACGTCATATTCTGAGAAATCACTGTTGTTAAGAGATGTACCCTGCTTAAAATGTGATTTCGCTCATTTATCTGCTACAAAAACTTGATGGATGCAAACTAATTGCACAATTACGATGCTTCAAATATTAAATCCGTCAAATGTATTGCAGGCGAAGAGGTACCTTTGCTTCTTTTTAGAGTGAGGTTTGATTATTAAGCCATTATACGATGCTGCTGTACCTGCGCACTAAATGCAGACGTTTGCCTGGATGCAACATATGCCGCCTGAGAATGGCATGCCTGACAAAACTATCAAAAGTCGATACTTGATACAGCCTTGTAGATTCCTTACTGTCTGAGGTAGTGATCTAGGCACAAATGCCAGTATGACATTTATACTATAAGGACAATTTATGTGGCGACTTCAGATGTAGAGCACGGCAGCAGAGCGAATAACGGTGGGTCGTAAGCAACGAAAAGCATTATGGCTAGTTAGAGCAGGCACATCACATGGTCAAGTAAGGTGAATATGGAGATTGCAAGCCATAGGCTTACACTTCATTTGAGCTCTACTATCGGTGTATACCTCACTCAGGTTTCCAGTATAGAGATTTCTTTGGTATCCGATGTCATTCGGTAAGATAGCCAGAGAAAGAGAGTAAGACTGACTTCCATAAAACAAGCGAGATGCTTCCATAGCGATACTATTGGTGCTATCCTCTTTTTTAGTCAAAGTCTGTCTTGGCCATTTGTTCCTTAGATTCGATATCGCCTTTACAAAAACATGGCTGCTGAGCAGGTTCCGTGGCGAGCCTTGAGAGATACATGATAGATAAAGACTCACGCAATGCTGGCTGATGCATTAGTAGCTTTAAGTCAATACTCTGTGTTATCTCTGTTGATATCCAAAGATACACGAGCCTTTTATTGAGACGTAACACGGCAAATGTTGTGAATATTGACTAACAAGTTTAACATTTGCTCGATAGATTTGCCAAATATCATCAAGAATGCACATTACCGTACATAATTGCCGTCGTGCATTGAGTGGTTGATCATCGTGAACTTGTGCCAGGGTTGTGCATTTATCGTGGTTGTTGTGATATGCATAATGACGCTAAAAAAGATCCCAAGTAGGCTGTCCTCGACGCAGAGCTATAAAGGAATACGCACATGATTCATGGGCTTGAAAAGCATAAAGCGGAATATCTAGTCTGCTGCTCAAACTATACAAATTCAGAGGCCAAGCTCTGACTCTAATGAAAAGCTGAGCAAAGCACCATATACAACATGTCATTCTGATCTTGTGTAAGCATCAACAAATCGACAATTGTATGCGTGCTTGGTGGCAAATGCATGAATTTACTAGTGTAAACATGTAAACAACCTTTGAATGCAGGCATAGTAGTAGCCACATTGATATTTGAATACATAGCATCTACTGGTTGGTGAGATTTCTCGGGTTTAATGTGCTACTGCATGAGGAATTGCACTATACATTTCAATAGCGATGGTGGAAATCCAGCTCCAAGTAGCGTTTATATGACCGTTGCCCCAAGATAACAAGGCTCAGGAAGCACACGCTCGTGATATCCACCAAAGCGAGGCTCTCTTGACACAGAAAGGCGTCTCGTGATGACAGTTTCTTCTGCCTTTTGTTTGCTAAAAGGGATTAAACCTTAAACCCA